GGGTGACGGTTCTGTTCAGGAGAATTTTTTGCCCAGACTATAAAATATGTGGGGAAAAAATTCATATTACAAATCTTTTTGACAGGACGAAGTCTGTCGGGACCGGTAGTATATATATAATGTACTGATTTACTGTTTTCTTTAAATATTTACATGCATATTTTAACACTTCATACTACATATTTATCCGGTCTCTATTCATGATACTCCAAATATGAATAAGTATAATCTCTGATGCTTGAATCGTAGTGTCACGGAGAGTTCAGCAAGAGCGGAGCGCGAAGGGGTTGGTGCGCGGATGGGAGGGACGGGTTGGGAAGATTGATTGATTGACTAATTAATTGGTGATTCCAGGAACGTCATTAGTCCCGTATGCGTAGTGTCTGGTTTTGTAGCTGGAGGTGGCGGTGATCTTCCTCCGCTGAATGGCGAGATCCGGCGCCGACTAATAGGTTGAATTGAATTGAATTGAATTGGCCTTATTTTTACGTGGCGAGACTCGGGCCATCAGGCCCGCTCTTCCGTCTGACCACGCAAATTTCGCTACGCTCCTTTCACCAACTAGGAGAGAAAGGAGGTATTTCTTGGGCGAGAAACAGGCGATTTGAATTTAGCTCAGAGGCGTCATTTAGGCTTGAGGATCTTTTACATGCAAGTAAATCTACGAACATGGGACAGCCGGCTTTACTTCCCCTCCGAAGGAAGGCGTACGAAGGATTTTTTCGCAAATAGGTTGCCTAGCGTCTCCCACTACCTGCCATCTCCGCGGCACCGCCCCATCCAGGATAAGCTAATGTGGCACGGTAGTGTATGTATGTGAAGGTGTGAGTGAGTAAGGGGCTGAAAGTGAGACTACGAACAAGGAAGGAGAGGTCGAGTGCGGTCCGTGGCTCATTTGTTAGGGTACTACTCCGGCATTCGCCTGGTGTTCATCGCAGAAACCACAGAAAACTACCAATTAGAGCAGTCGGTCTCTAAAATACTCCTCCAGATAGAGCGAAATTCGACCAAGTTATGTATCTAGCATTGATAATCCTACCGTCTGGGACTCAAGCCCTAGGGGTCAGAGGCTCTGCAGAGATATCAACTGATGCCTTGAGTCACGTAAGCCAGTGAGGTGATTAGAATGGGGTGGGAAGTGGTCATGGTAGGATGGAGACAGGGTTAATAAAATTACTTCCACTTGCGGTTCCAACAGAGAGGCGCTAGGAAATCCTCCGAATTAATTTTGCATTTTTCCCCTGCACACTTTAAAATAATATCTGTTCACCTAATCATCATTTTAGCACTATCTTTCATTCGAACACATCCGTAGAATTCATACTCCGCTGGTTCCCAGCTTCGGTTTCATTGGCTGGATGTGCTCGCTGGTGGGTCCGCTTATGTGGTCTTTTTGTCGGGGGCATGAACGTGCCTTTCATCAGCAGTCAATCCGGTCGCTGGCGGTTGTATACCCACCGCGCGACCTGGACCTTAAAAACGAGTTTATTTTAAAGGAATTATTTTTGCTTTAGAATTTATATACTATATTGTTCTAATAAATTAAACTTACATTTAGTACAATATGTCAGAACATCGACAATCAGGGTCTTCACAAGTAAAATCTAGTGGAGCTCTACCAGTACAAATTTTTCGCATTATTTCTTTTTCAGTTAAAGAAAATTAGAAAGTTAAACAAAATTTAGAACTGAGCAAGTTTGTCCTTTACGCTATCTGAGAACAAATTTTAATAAAAACATTTGGAGTCGTGTTTTAGAAAACTTTGAAAATGTTGAGGCTTTATGTACAGTGCCCACCAAAATCAACATATCCGTTTCAAACTCGTAGGGCGTCGAGTTCGTTTAGATCTATCTGTAAATATCAATTTTGAAGATGATCTTCTAAACTGTTTACACACCAGTCTTGACCCCAGACAGACGGACGGACGGACGGATGTTTTGCCGTTAGAGGAAGGGATTTACTGGATGTGGGAACAAGACTTATCCACTCTTTCGTTACAAGGAACCAACAATACACGTTTTTCTGTGGGAAAATCGCCGATTCCCGCCGCAGCACTGTGACTGTGCACAATAGCCTTGTTAAATGAAACGCCTCATGATTAGTTTTATAAAAATCTATTTGGAACAGACAGTTTGGGCGAACACCCTGATGCTTTCATTTCCAGCTGCCACTACTTTAAATTATATATTGAAATCATTCTTGTCTATTCTAATAAATTATCGTGTTAAATAAAAACATGGGCAACGTCGGATTACGTCCAGCTTCTGACATTAGGTCAACAGAACACACAGAGAGTATTATGCTCGGTAATGGAAGCCTCAGATGGTTATATGACTAGCACGCTAGCAGTTCTTACCCCCCTTTAACATATTAATACACTCCCCACTACATTCTTTGAGGGGGTGGTATGGCTTAATGATCCACTTCGTTCATTCAATTTGATATTCTAATATTTATTAAACATTTAAAATAAAAATTGACTAAATCTTAGCAGATTCTTAACATCAATTTGTTTCCCAACGATAGATACAAAATGCGATATTTTAATGTCAAAATTCTGTTAGCTCGAGATCAAGTACACTAAACAATATATTATTTCTTTAAATAAATCTTAAAATATTTCTTTGTTTTCAGATGACTTTCTAGTTCAATTCAAGTATTGGGATATCCGTGTTTTTCCCTTTCTAGCCCATTACTGAGCCCTAGCAATGAAAGGGGCGAGAAGTCAGAGGACGGTCAGGCTGAGGCCTTTTCTACTTAGACACAAGAAAAGTCACACCAACTACTAGAAAGACTACACCTTCCCCTTACTGTAAATGTTAATATCTCGATTTTGGAAAAAGCGCGTGAACAGTTTTGGAAATTTCTTTTATGTCTGTTTCAAAATATTAACCTCACAGGTATAAACCCCCCTCCCCCACGCACCGAGGCAATGAGTCACCACGCGAGAATCGCCGGCCGAACCTCCGACAATGCGTGCGGCGCGGCAGCAAGCGTTTACGACGCTACGACGGCAGGCAGGCGTGGCAGACAGCAGACAAGCGCCTCCTTCTCCGGCCCGCGCGAACAGCCACGCACGCACGCACGCACGCACGCACGGAGCGCGCCGTGCATTCGCGCGGCCTCAACACGCGCCCGCGCATCTGCTCCCGTGCCCAACAAAGCACACGCACACCGCGCGCTGCCAGCAACGGGGCTGGCGATCACAACACTGTAACCAAGCCGTTACGGCTGCCCGCAGAACGCGAAAAGAAGCCTTTCAGAAGGGTGATGTAAATGTTTGATGAGACTCCTGGCTGTCGTATCTATTGTGAGCATTCGACTGAACAATGAATGTGATATAACTGATAAAATATGGCGAAATATTGTTGAAACTATTTAAAAATTAAGCAAACTTTAGAATTAACCAATTGGATTAATTTTCCAAATACGACGAGTAAGAATATCTGCCGGCAGTCCAAAAATTATTTTGAAAAGAAGTGAAAATTAAAGGTATGAAACATTTCAAAGTATGAAAAAACACACTGTTTCGCGAGAAGCTTCGCCGGGAAAGTTTTTGGTTCTGGTGGTCACGGAAATAGAAGATGACGTTTTGGGAAATACCTGGAAGTCTAAATATCAACGACTGAGTGAAAGGATCGGCAAAAAATGGGAAAATGAATCAGTATTAATCTACTTGATTTGAAAATGGCACCATTTATGGACTTGTGACACATCTAAATGAAAATTTTAACAATTCAAAATTACATCTGTGAGTTTTCGAAATAATAAAATTATGATCTAGTGAATAGTACTGGAGGTAGTAGTAGTAGGAAAACTGTTATCCTCTGGTGGTAAAATCGTAAAGCAAGAGTGTCGCCATTTTATCATAAAAATATAATTGCATTTAGAAGTTACTTTCATTTGAGAACATCAAGCGAAATGTAATAAGCTGCAACAAATCTGCATAATGAAAATGGCATTTTTTATCAATTTTTTTTCAAACTGGTTACATCTTGTAATTATTATCACCTGCGCAAAATAGGACCAAGAGATTGAACATTGAAGGTGCAACATTAGATGAGAGATTGAAAATTAATGATAGCTAGTAATCGTCGCGGATGTATTCCAAAAACAAAGTGACAACTTACATTCAGAAACTCCGCTATTGTGAGACATTCATAATGAAAGGGAATTAAGTTATGCATTCTTTTGAGTCAAGATATCGTGATGCGCTCTCTCGCATCTGTAGAGCAATGGGAAATCAGCTAACCACGTTGTATTCGTGCAAAATGGAAACCATTCTCAGTACTGACTTTCTGAGATTTGTGTTAAATCAGAATCCGTGTTAAATGTGCCTTACTATTTTTATCATGTGTAAGCTAAAGTCCATCATGTTTCAGGTAACAGTTTTCTTCAATTCTCAGTTTTCAACGTCGAATTTACAATATAATTGTTGGAGTAAAACAGTTTATATTTTAAATCACGTCTCATAAGAACCTCAATCGTTTCAAGAGTTCCGTAGCTAGTTGGAACACTGTAAATTGTCATTGGAAGAATATCTTGTGAGGCAAATTAAGAGTTTAGAAAGTTTTTTTTTATTATTGCAAAAATTATCCAAAACCATGTAATATAAATTTAAAAAAGTATGTTAGGAGTTTATTGAATTAACTGAAGTTCATAAATACTCACCGCCACATATGCGGCGTGAAGCCGGGGCATTTTTCGTGGCAGGTGAGGCATGGCTGCCCCTCGTCCACTTCCTGCACCAGCACTCCCTGCAACAAAGCAACAACGCACGTCAGCCAAGTTTGTAATAATGATGTATGCCTATTACAGAACAGTTTATGCAAAATAGTGTTTCAGGAAGATCAGTAGCCACGAAACAATACACTTCAAACATAGTAATTAAATACGAATAGCAGACAAAAGCGAATAAGAGATATCGGATTAATTCGTTCAAAAAGAGATTCCTGAAAATAGTAGACATATATAAATTGGGGACCAATCTTTTCTTGCGAAACTTACTTTCTAGTGTAATGAAATGTATGTAAATTGGGGACCAGACAATCCTAGGTAAGCAAAGGGTCTGATTAAGCAGATAAGCGCTTCAAGGGAGCCGCCGCCGCCGCATCATATGCTGTCCAGCTTTTCCTTGTGACTTTTTGAAAATCTGACAGACTCTATCCTATATCATAATGAAAAGCAAAGAAAGTACTAGATAAGTATCCAAATTTTAAGTTTAACGTTATAGAATATTAGCTGATAAAAATGAAATGGCAAGAAAAGCCAAGTTCATTCAATCAACGAATGATTCAATTGAATGAAAATCAATTGTAACAAAACATTTCTAGAGAAACATGTCATCCCTAAGTCTCGAAAATTGGGAAGCGAGTTGTGATGTAAAAATAAAGGCTTTAAAAATGTTCTTCGAAAATTACCTTCCACTTTCACCTGGAAGGGAATGAGGTAGTCAGCCTTCAATTTACATATGGATTAAACTCTTATTTTTCTTCTGGTCCCCGAATTACATACGTCGAAAATAGTTTAATAGTAATATCTTGTAATTTTATTTCATTTCCCATTCCATCATAGAAATACATATTGTATTTAACGTTCACTTACTAATCAGTTACAAAACATTACAAACAGTTACGGGAACACTATTCTACTGTATTTCTAATAGTTCAGCAAAAAGAAATAATTATTTGTTTTCATTTAAATATAAATATACCTTGGAATAATTAAATGTTTGCGGTTTTCAAAATATCAAAAATATATAATTTAAATAACCATATAAATGTATTTTATCAATTAAAACACGGAAAAAAGTCTCAAAGGAAACGAAAAGTCACATAGAAAGCATTTAAACTACTCGTAGAATTGTTAATTTTAAACATAACTCCGAAGTGATTCTCGTATTATATGTTTTAACGCAAGCCAAGAGGCAGTGCGCAGTGTCCTGTCGCACAAAGCGAGGATAATGACGGGTTCCCCGGGAGTCGATCGTCGAAGCGGCTGCCTGCAGGTAAGGCGGGGTGCGCGCCCCGATAAGGGGGAGGCGGCAGGCAGACGCAGGGCCGAACAGAGGAGCGGCCGGAGGTGACGTCACGAGCTCCTAATGGGCAAATACTGGTGCTGTTGACTCGGGCGGCGGCCGCGGTGGGCCTGGTCCGGCGAGATGTCACCGCGGTGTGCGCCCCCGCCCCCGCCCCGCCCCGCTCCGCCCCGTCCCGATCACCTCCCCGCACTCCCCGCCACGCGTCGCGTCCGCCCCTTCACGGCCTGCCCCGCCCCGTCCCGTCCCTCCCCGCCACGCACGCCACTCCCGCGCCCGCCCGTCGCGTCCGCCCTTCACGGCCTGCCCCGTCCCGTCCCGGCCCGCCCCGTCCCGCCCCGTCCGCCCCCGCTTGCGAGTCCATGGCTGCTCCCTTCCAGACGCCACCGCGTCCATTCCCCAAATGACCCGGCAACGCGACCTACATGTCGCACTTTGCGGCCGATTTCTGCCTGCTCACTGCAACCCACCCAATCATTTTACATCATCGCGCTACAGACACCTCCCTTATCTCCGCCACTCGTCGTCTTCTCTCTACATCACTTCACTAGTTTTCTCTCATCCATCACCCCCCCCCCCGCTTCCAATTAACGTTCCTCTGTCCGCGCCTCCAACCACCCTTACATCATCCTCCCCGAGTAGTGGCACTTCAGCCATCCTCATTTCGTCCATTACTCTATCGCCTCGCCTCCCCGTCAGTGCTTCCTTCTCCAGCCCTCTCCTTCTGTGAACGGACACCCAGTCGGTGGCGGTCGGTCCGTAAGTGCAACACAGCAGCCAGTATGTTTAATAAATGAAACAATTGTTTCAAAATATGGGATTTTTTCATTTTCGCCGACCTAAAGGCGGATGAAGCACAATCAGAAATGGGCTTCGTTCTTGACACGTGAGCTTACATCAGGGGCTGAGAGTTTATGGAGCTGTCTGGGGCGAAATGAGGTCTGCCATGCGCTGTTTTGAACGAGAAACTCGCTGACGTTATGAAGAACACGATAATACGTGTTGTGCGCCTATGGTACAATGCGGACTGTTTAAGCTCTTGAAGGCTATGATATTCACAGCACCAAGCGGTAGTGATGAAAAAGTATTTTGATTAATCGTAATGAATTAATTATAATCGAAAAAGTAAACAAATTCAATTAATTCATTAATTGGTTCAAAGTAACAGCTAATCGATTAATTGGAATAAATACTGGCAAAAACATCTGTACGTTTTTGTCATCATTTAAAAGAGGATAAAAACGAGTATAAATAGGGTAGATTGTCTTCTCCAGTAGATATTAAAACTTTTCACGTTTAATCATATTTGACGAATTTTTCCTGATGATGACATACTTTTCCCAGCGTTTAAACTACACTAAGCTTGGCAAAATTCTCTGATAGCGAAGCACTGAGCTGTCAAATAGTCACGTCAAAAGAGAAAAAGAAGCGAATAGTCTTTCCTTGCTCTCATACTGCATTCTCTGCCACTTTCTGCGATGATTGAATCGCACAGGCTGCACCAGGAGTGAGTTGTGCGAAATTGAAAATTCACAGTTTCACACCCAAACTTGGGATTCAACCGAAAAATATCAACATGAAGAAGTGAGTTCAAAAGAGTTGAAAAACCGAACGCAGGTTGAAATTAATACTAAAAAAGTATTCTCCAAAAAACAATTTCATATAAACGGTATAATACAAATAGGATATGCCGCATTAATTAAATTTTTATGCAACATATCTAGTGCACGTTATTTTGTGACCGTATACATTGATACCACTGACATGAAGTGACTATTCCTCTGAATGCAATCATCGTGCTCGGGGGACTTCACGTTTATATGCCCCCCCCCTCGGAGAAGAAACTGAAAGGCTTTCTCCACCAACAATTTGGTGAATGTAATTTTTGCTTGAAAAAATTAGACATTTTATATACTATAAGACACATATTTAGCGTTAATAGCTTTAACATTTGTCGTGATAATCCCGCAGATGTTTTGCAAAATAGTTTTTGGATTACGAGAGCAATTTCTATACAAAATCATAATAATGCCGTGTAAAACAGCTTATATTAGCGTCGAAATTATAACTAAAAATACGCATTTAAACATGTTTTATACTTTGCTGGCATTCGTTTAGAAAACTACACCTGCGTTCCACTATCCACAATCCAATACTCATACTCGTTTTAGAAATCTGTGCGACGAGTAAGCTGGCTCAAAAGCATCAATTCGTACACAATGATGTGATTAAAAAAACTTAGAAAAGTGCGTTGTAACGTGCATACACTCTTCACAACGCTTTGATTTCTTGCGCTTACATCATACAATTCAAGACATGATTTTTTGTTCTTATGGAACTTCAAGACATGATTTTCCGAAGCGCCATACAGAACTTCCAATTCCGACGATCGAATAAAATGTATCCACATAGTATTTAGTTCGCATTCAGCTCACTACGTAAGTACATGGTATCTCGCCCGTTCCGATTCCTCAATTGGAATTCCTGAACAGATGCAATTACTGACGTGTAGGCTCGGCTCTATTCTCGTTCTCATTCACCTTGCCTTGCAGAGTGTCTTTTTCTTTTTTATGTATTTCGCTTCTACGCACAAAAATGAACTACCAGGGGAAAGAATCTGATCGTGCCGGCATCTGTGGGACCGTTTGCCCAGTAGCTATTCTTTTCTTATGCTTAATTAAAACGTGACGTGTATCGCATGGCAATACACATTTATAGTGAAATAAATTGGCTTAATTGAATTCACCATAAAGAAGGTAACTGTCAATTCTAGTACATTCTAAGTACTCACCGTAAGGACTCACGAAATTAAATAATTTACAAAGAAGTTACTATTTTCAAGAAAATTAATAGAATATTTTTCGTTTCAGTTTAATTGTATTTGATTAATTGGAACAGAAAAAACATGCAATTAATCGATTTTTGCTTCTATTATAGTCCATTAATAATCATTGTTGCTATGACTACTGAGCAGACCCTTGGTAGCGCTTCGCAGATCTGTCATCTATCAAGCAGTTCCATACTAGAAAATAATTGGCAACACAGGGAATTATAGTCTCCTTAGTGATATGGCGGTAAAATTGACATTGAATGTGTTAAACTCTTAGTTTAATAACAAATTAACAAAATAAATTAACGCCAGATACTCTAGAAAAATCTTAAATACTAGTACTAGTACTATATTTTATTACTAAAATATAAATTAGTATAATAATAAAATTTCAGGTGTAGTTATTATCAATTCCATATGTGAATTAATTTTAAACAATTAACAACATTCAAAAATATTTTTTATCAATTTTAGTGCGAAACTATAAACATTTTCTAAAATCAGTTTATCAGTATACTTGGCTACAATGATGATCAGGAAGGCGGGGTTAGAACTTGCCCCGTGCGCTGAAAAAGAAGAAGAAGAAGAAGAAAAAGAAGAAGAAGAAAAAGAAAAAGAAGAAGAAAACGAAGAAGAAAAAGAAGAAAAAGAAAAAGAAGAAGAAGAAGAAGAAGAAGAAAAAGAAAAAGAAAAAGAAAAAGAAGAAAAAGAAGAAGAAAAAGAAAAAGAAAAAGAAAAAGAAGAAGAAGAAGAAGAAAAAGAAGAAGGAAACGCAGCTAATCCACTGACAACGGCATCCCGGCGGATTCAGCAGCCGCCGCCGCCTCCCAGAGCATCGCGGTTAGAAGGGCGCGGGAGAATGCGCCGCGTGGTCTCTCTTCAGGGCGAGGGCTTCAGGCGGAAATGGAGCCCCGCGACCGCAGTCGATAGCGCAGGGCCAGC